GTGACAGAGAACCTGGGGGAAGGGGAAGGGGCAGCTGTGGGCACAGCTTTTGCAGACTTAAACGTCCTTGTCTGCTGGCTCTGAAGAGAGCAGCAGATCTCCTAACACAGCACTCAAACTCTGCTAAGGGACAGACTGCCTTTCTCAAGTGGGTTGACCCCCGTGCCTACTGATTGGGACATGCCTCCCAGCAGGGGTCGACAGACACTTCATACAGGAGAGCTCCAGCTGGCATCTGGCAGGTGCCCCTCTGGGATGAAGCTTCCAGAGGAAGAAACAGGCAGCAATCTTTGCTGTTCTGCAGTCTCTGCTGGGGATACCCAGGCAAACAGGGTCTGGAGTGGACCTCCAGCAAGCCCCAGCAGACCTGCAGCAGAGGGACCTGTTAGAAGGAAAACTAACAAACAGAAAGGAACAGCATCAACATCAACAAAAAGGACATTCACACAAAAACCCCATCTGAAGTTCACCAACATCAAAAACCAAAGGTAGATAAATCCACAAAGATGAAGAAAAACCAGCACAAAAAGGCTGAAAATTCCAAAGAACAGAACACCTCTTCTCCTCCAAAGGATCACAACTCCTCACCAGGAAGAGAACAAAACTGGACGGAGAATGAGTTTGACAAATTGACAGAAGTAGGCTTCAGAAGGGTGGGTAATAAACTCCAAGCTAAAGGAGAATGTTCTAACCCAATGCGAGGAAGCTAAGAACCTTGAAAAAAGGTTAGACAAATTGCTAACCAGTTTAGAGAAGAACATAAATGACCTTATAGAACTGAAAAACACAGCACAAGAACATCATGAAGCATATACAAGTATCAATAGCTCAATCAAGCAGAAGAAAGAATATCAGAGATTGAAGATCAACTTAATTAAATAAAGTGTGAAGAGACGATTAGAGAAAAAATAATGAAAAGCAATGAACAAAGCCTCCACAAAATATGGGACTATGTGAAAAGACCAAACCTAGGTTTGATTGGTATACTGGAAAGTGATGGCAAGAATGGAACCAAGTTGGAAAGCATTCTTCAGGATATTATCCAGAACTTTCCCAACCCAGCAAGACAGCCCACCATTCAAATTTAGGAAATACAGACACTACCACAAAGATACTCCTCAAAAAGAGCAACCCCAACACACGTAATTGCCAGATTCACCAAGGTTGAAATGAAGGAAAAAATGTTAAGGACAGCCAGACAGAAAGGTCAGCTTACCCACAAAGGCAAGCCCCTCAGACTAACAACAGATCTCTCTGCAGAAACCCTATAAGCCAGAAGAGAGTGGGAACCAATACTCAACATTCTTAAAATAATTTTTAACTCAGAATTTCATATCCAGTCAAACTAAGCTTCATAAGTGAAGGAGAAATAGAATCCTTTACAGACAAGCAAATGCTAAGAGATTTTGTCACCACCAGGCCTGCCCTACAAGAGCTCCTTCAGGAATCACTAAATATGGAAAGGAAAAACCAGTACTAGCCAGTGCAAAAGCATACCAAATTGTAAAGACCATCAACACCATGAAGAAACTGCATGAACTAATAAGCAAAATAACCAGCTAGCATCACAATGACAGGATCAAATTTACATATAACAATATTAACCTTAAATGTAAATGGGCTAAATGCTCCAGTTCAAAGACACAGACTGGCAAACTGGATAAAGAGTCAAGACTCATTGATGTGCTGTATTCAGGAGTGCAATCTCACATGCAAAGACACACATAGGCTCAAAATAAAGGGATGGAGGAAGATTTACCAAGCAAGTGGGAAGCAAAAAAAAGCAGGGGCTGCAATCCTAGTCTCTGATAAAATAGACTTTAAACCAACAAAGATAAAAAATGACAAAGAAAGCCATTACATAATGGTAAAGGGATCAATGCAATAGGAAGACCTAACTATCCTAAATATATATGCACCTAATACAGGAACACCCAGATTCATAAAGCAAGTTACCAGAGACCTACAGAGAAACTTAGATTCCCACACAGTAATAGTGGGAGACTTTAACACCCCACTGTCAACATTAGACAGATCAATGAGACAGAAAATTAACAAGGATGTTCAGGACTTGAATTTAGCTCTGGACCAAGTGGACCAAAGAGACATCTACAGAAGTCTCCACCCCAAATCAACAGGACATACATTCTTCTCAGCACTACCTCACACTTGTTCTAAAATTCATCACATAATTGGAAGTAAAACACTCCTCAGCAAATGCAAAAGAAAGAAAATCGTAACAGCCTCTCAGACCACAGTGCAATCAAATTAGAACTCAGAATTAAGAAACTCACTCAAAATCACACAACTACATGGAAACTGAACAACCTGCTTCTGAATAACTACTGGGTAAATAACAAAATTCAGGCAGAAATAAAGAAGTTCTTTGAAACCAATGGGAACAAAGATACAATGTACCAGAATCTCTGGGACACAGCTAAAGCAGTGTTTAGAGGGAAATTTATAGCACTAAATGCCCACAGGAGAAAGCAGGAAAGATCTAAAATCAACACCCTCACATCGCAATTGAAAGAACTAGAGAAGCCAGAGCAAACAAATCATAAGCTAGCAGAAGACAAGAAATAACTAAGATCAGAGCAGAACTGAAGGAGACAGAGACATGAAAAAAATCAATGAATTCAGGAGTTTTTTTTTTTTTTTTTTTTTTTTTTTTTGAAGAGATTAACAAAATAGACCGCTAGACAAATAATGAAGAAAGGAGAGAAGAATCAAATAGACACAATAAAAAATGATAAAGGGGATATCACCACTGATCCCACAGAAATACAAACTACCATCAGAGAATACTATAAACACCTCTACGCAAGTAAACAAGAAATCTGTTTAAGCGATAGGATGCTCTTTGAATTGGAAGAGTCCATAAATAGAAAGGCTTTACAGATCTGAGATTGTACTGGCAAAATGAGACCATAAGCAGTGGCTGGATCTTCATTAATCAGTCCATATTTCATATTACATTTTGTTGATTTTAAATTATTGAAGTTTGGAACAGTAAAATGGTGACCTTATAGGCTATACAGTATACATTTCTACATATACTTCCCAGTTAGGAGAGCATATGGAGTTAGGTATACCAGACTCTTTTAGCTATAAAATACACTATTCATGTACCTGACTTTTTCTGATTACAGGCTCGTCAATGTACTTTTAAAAATTGTTTTTATTTACTTAAATTTTTTGCGTGTAGTGTATATACATAGGTGTATATATTAACCTATTTTCTGATTATCATGTGGACGCCCATTTAGGCACTCCTATTCCGTAAGTTCAAAAGAGTACTAGAAGTCAAAAGCCATTTTGTCACTTAATAAGAAATATATCTATTTTAAACCTTCTCCTACTGTTTTATGAAAGGGTAGGACACACACAAGAATAACTAGAATATATACCCCGATGATGGGAACTGACCGCCATATGTGATTCAATAAAAAACAAAAACATATTAACAGACTTATCTTTCAAAATCATACACTATAGCTCTTTATCCTCAGGGGTTGAAGTACATATTTTCATTACACCTGCCCTTTCTACCTCACTGAACTAAGAGAAAACATACAAATGTGCACTAGGAGTCAATAGTAAAGTAACCCTCCCCTATACTGCAAACTAAAGACATAGGATTAATACAGTTTCTCCCTTACAGCTAAAAGCAGGGACAGGAGGTATACTATCATGTACAGAAGCAATAAAAAGGGGTTACAACATTCAGTGCTCAGCCATGCATTATCCAAAGGAGAAGAAATATTTCGAATCAACTTAATCCGATTCCAACTTCACAAACTAACATTTGTGTTGTTATAATTTTCTTTCCCAAGTACATTTGCTTATCAAAAGCAATATATTTGTCAATCGTGAGTATTCTGCTGCTTGTTATATCTCATTTAAAATTACTGAATTTCCATTTTTATTTATCTATCACTTTTAAGCTTATTTAAAGTTAACTCCTCCCACCCCAATATGGATCTGCTAGATGATCTGAGGCAATCAGGCTTCTGTGTCTGCAAAACTGAGGACTAAGATTCTGGTTGATAATGAATTCACTGGCAAACGGCTATCTTCTGGGTCATTTTTGAGCTTTTCTTGATGGGACCTACCATCAATATTGAAAGATCTCCTGTTTTATAGTTGATGAAATTGATTCTATATTCAAAAAATCATTTAATTATCAGCTTCTATTATAGAACAGCTTCTACCCAAATATTATCTTCAATCCCACTGACTTCACTTTTTCCAGCTTCTGATTTACAGTGTTGTAAAGCCTTAAGAATTGAGAACAGAGGCTACAATTCCAAAATTGGCATGACAAAAGTGTACTTCATGGGCAAGCAAAAGAGTAGAGGTCACAATGTTATTATCCCTGTCATTACTATCTCTGGAAGGTATGACTATGTAGCACCAGAGATAAGAGTCAACGTTATTTAAGTGTAATATAGTAAAAACATAAATACATTTCTGCCTATCAACTAAAGAAGCAGAAAATGAATAACCATCCAACAGAGGATCTCCCCAGAGTGAAAAATTACAACAGAAGTAGTGGCAGGAATAGATTTCCTGATTTAAATAGTAAACTATGTTGCCTTTTATAGAGTATATGAATGAAATTGGCAAGAGGAGCTAATTAATTATAGCTGATTACTCTATCAAATCTCTTGGTAGCATAAGCAAAACATTAACTTTTTATAATTATTTGGAGTCGATACACTCCAAATGCAGTGTGCTGCATCCACAGGGCATATACATTTTAAAGACTTTTTTCCTCAAAGTCTTCACTGCAATTTTAGATACTGGTATTTTGAGAACTAGAATTAAATAAGACAATTCATAATATAGTGCAAGAAAGCAGAACATTTTAAATATATCTAGAGTACTGGAAAACTTAAGATACGCAGTTTTGTATTTTGTGTAGAAATGACAAGTCTCGGATGAAAACATTAAACTCTACTATACCAAAAACAGTGGTAGTCCAGAAATTTACCAACCTTCAGGATCGAGTAGTTTCTCTATGCCTAATTGATATCTGGCGATGTTGAATGCATGTTCCAGTCGCTGTGTGGCTGACTGCTGGCAAACCACACTATTCCAATCAAACAGGTCTGGCCTAAAACACATACATATACACACATACACAAAGACAAATATAAATCAATCTACAATGTTCCATGAGATTTACTTCCATGCTTAATTTTCATTGACAACCCATGCCCCATAGTCCTTAAGGCTTGAGTGTAATTCATTTACCCTTCTAAACGTTTCTATTTAAACAAGTTGTAATTTTAATTGAAAATCTTGTTGGGTGTGGTGGCTCATGCCTGTAATCTCAACACTTTGGGAGATGGAGGCAGGCAGATCCTTTGAGCCCAGAAGTTCGAGACCAGTCTAGATAATTTGGTGAAACCTTGTCTCCACAAAAGAAAAAAAAAAAAAGAAAAAAAAAAAAGAAAAGATAAACTAGCTGGGTGTGGTGTCACATGCCTACAAGTTCCAGCTACTCAGGAGGAGGTTGAGGTGGGAGGATCACCTGAGCCCAGGAAGATTGAGGGTGCAGTGAACCATAATCGTGCCACTGCACTCTAGCCTGGGCAACAGAGTGAGACCCTGTCTCAAAAAAATTGCTGAGGTTGTATACTTAAACACATACAACGTTTGTATTGTTAATTATACATCAGTAAAGATGTGGGGGGAAAAGAAAATCCTGAAGACGACAAATAATCTACACTAGCTTATCCGAGCAACAAAAATTTATCTATCTCATCCAGTCTCATGGATTTCAATACCATTCATTTACTGGTAATGCCCAGTTTTATATCTCTAACCCAGACCTCTTCCCTAAACTCAAAATTATAGATTATTCTGCATACTCATTATCTCCATTTAGTCATCACAAGCTTCAAGTATCCTGGACGGAGCTTCTGATATTTATCCTTATCACACTCCCCCAAACCTATCTATTTTTCTTGCTGTTCTCCCTTCCTCAATAATGAACAACATGCTTAAAATTGCAGTTACTCAGATGAAAACCCTTGGAGTCATCCTTAATGACTATTTTACTCTCACACAACATTTAATTCAAAATGTATTCAGAATTTGACTGCTTCTGACTATCCTCACTGCCATCCCTCTAGTCCAAAATCCATTTTATCTTGCATGAATTATCACCATAGCCTCATTACTCTTCCCTCTTCTCTCACTCTTGCCTGTGTTAATCAGCGCACAGCAGACTTGCCAGAGTGATCTGTTAACATGTTTCATCATATCCGTCTTCTCAAATCTCTACTTTAGGGGAAGTGAAAATTACATATTTCATGTGATCTACTAAGTCGAACAGGGTCCAGGTCCCTATTAACTCCCTGATTTTATTTCTTGTCTCTTTCCTCATATTCCATAAACAGGATCCATAGTTTTCTGCATTTGGATTTGTATTCACTTTTCGAAGACATCAACGTGGCTCATTACTTTACTTCCATTGGGTCTTTACTCAAAAATCACATCACTGGAAAGTTCTTCCCTGCCCAAGCCCTATCTAAAATTGCATCCTAGCCAGGTGCCTTGGCTCACACCTGTAAATCAAGCACTTTGGGAGGCTGAGGCTGAAGTATTTGCTTGAGGCCAGGAGTTAGAGACCAGCCTGAACTACATAGTGAGACCTGGTCTCTATGACTTAAAAAAAAAAAAAAAAAAAAAAAAAAAAAAAAAAAAAACAAGTAGTCAAGTGTGCTGGCATGCCCCTATGGTCCCAGCTACTCAGGAGACTGAGGTTGGAGAATCACTTGAGCCTGGGTGGCTGTAGTGAGCCATGATTGTGCCACTGCACTCCAGCCTGGGTGACAGCAAAACTCAGTCTCCTAAATATATAAATGAAAAAGAAAATTGCATGCCTCACATCAAACTCACATACACTTATTTTCTTTCTCCTTATCTTCTTTATACTGTTCTCATTAACACTATTTAACATATTATATAATTTAATTAAACTTGTCTCTGTATCTTTCTCTTCCACTAGAATGTACAATCTTTTATTGCCTGTTTGGTTCACTGCTGGAAACCCAGCCTGACACATAATAAAGGCTCAACAAATATTTATCAACTACACGAGAGAATGGATGAGCACATACAACATACATACCACGTTACTTGATAATAGAGAAAACGCAAAGGAGTGTAAGAGGCAGTTCTTGTCTCATAAGGATTTTAAATTTAATGAGCAAGGAAAATGAAGAAGCCATATTAATTAATTAAACTCTAAATGTGAAAACACACACACAATAAGAAAATGTTTTGTAAAATCTGAAGAGGTCAAAAAAGTTTTCTGAGGCTGAAAGGCGGATTAAATAGACATTTGGGCTTGCATTAAAAACATATTGATAATAGAATTCTAAATTGTGTGAGTATTAGAGAATTGAAGTTCTTAGGGAAGGAAAAAAGCAAGACATGCTCAGATAATCAAGACCTCACAGGCCTGGCTCCATTGGAAGATTCTAAGTATGAAGTGGTGGGAGATAAGTTTGAGAGACCGAAACTGGTTGAGTTTGCCTAAGGTCTTGGCTATTAACGAATTACAATTTATCCCAAACAGCACTGGAAATCATTAGTAAAGTGGTTCTTCACCTTTTCTGAATCACAGACACCTTTGAGAATCTGTTGAGAGCTATGAAACTTCTACTCCTACAAATAAGTCTCCATATCTGTTAACAGAATCTATATACGATTTTAGGATATTTGAATCTGTTAACGGACTCCTGTTTAAGAGCTCTTGCTTTGCCAAAAAAAAAAGTTACAAAGGTAGGTTAGCTGTCATTTTCTAAAACTGTAATTCAAATTTGGCCAGGCTTGGTGGCTCATGCCTGTAATCCCTCCTTTGGGAGGCCGAGGCGGGCGGGTCACCTGAGGCCAGGATTTCGAGACCAGCCTAGACAACGTGGTAAAACTCCGACTCTACTAAAAATACAAAAATTAGCCAGGCATAGTGGCTAGTGCCTGTAGTCCCAGCTACTCAGGAGGCTGAGGCAGTAGAATCGCTTGAACCTGGGAAGCGGCAGTTGCAGTGAGCCAAGATTGGCCCACTGCACTCTAGCCTGTGCAACAGAGTGAGACTCTGTCTCAAAAAATAAAATAAAATAAAAATGTAAATAAATGTACAGATTTATTTCTTCTTTAATTGCTTCTACTCTGGTTAATACACCAAAATTTTGCACATTTTAGGAAATTGAATCCCTCCATATATTCCAAAATACCCCAAACAGCTAATAAGCTTATGGAAACTAGCATATTTGTAAATTGTAAAATGCCTTATGAAAAAAATATTAAAAATTTAAAAATTGTAGACTATTTAGGGGACTTTTAAGTTCACTATGCACCCTCTGCCTTATCTTCATTTTTTCTGTAGGCAATGGGAGTAGAAAAAGAACACAGGTGGGAACATATGAGAAACTAGTTTTCTCATCTACAGCATAATATACAAGGTTGAAATGAGTATGATGAGCAAAAAGAGCATTGCTTATGTATTCTTGCTGTTTTCCCTTGTCTTACCCTTTTCCTTGGCCACTAACTAACCACTTGAGTGTGTGGATATCTCATCTAAGTCATGTAATTTATTTGAGCTTTGGCATTTTCATTTAAAAAAGCAGCATTGCACAAAACGGCCTTTGAGGTCACATCTAGCATTAAAAATGAATTGTTTTATACCATTAAAATTAACATTATAAATATCTACGATTTTCAAATGCATAAAAATTGTAAAACTAACCAACTATGGAGGAAACTCACACAGCATTTAATGTTAACCCTGGACCATAATTTATGAACTTGCAACCAAGGATTACCAGATTTTTAATAAAATCAACACCATGATTAGGATAGTAAAATTTAAATCCTAGTTCTACCACATACTAGCCAAATAGTTTTAGGTAAATTACATGACCTCTCTCTGACTCAGTTTATCTATTTGTGAGATGGGTAAAATGATAGCATCTATGTCACGGAACTTGATGGAATATTTTACCTAGAACGGTGTCTACAAAATTATAATTGTTTAAAAACATTCGTTTCTATTACTTTGCTGTAATGTTAATTACATTTATATAACAACAGTGATGTATTTTCAATTGGCAGACTCAAGCCAAAAACACCTATCTTTACAGAACAGATATAAATGTTAAAAATACTACTGATGCAAACATAGTATAATTCAAAATGGGAGGTGGAGAAGAGGCGAGAGTAAGTATGCGTGATGATTTTCTCATTTTTCATATTGGTCAAAAGGTGCTTTCTATGCTTGGTAAAAATTTAAAAAGAGGTATACTCATACCATTTAATGTAATAAAAGCAAAAATTACAAGAATAAAATGATTATAAGTAATCAAATTAGGAAATACCTGGGGATGAAAGGTAATATGGCTGGGCTTCGTACTATGGAGTAAATACCTATACTGTTAGAAATTAGTTTGTCAAGAAGTAGAAACATTATCATACATATTATTATAACCATCAGGAACCAAAGTACAAGTAGCTGACGCTGACTGTATCTAAGAATTGAAATGTGATAAAGTAGGGTTGGGGTCATGAAGATACACTGTTTTCCCTTCGCTCCTGACTCTAGTGTCCATTCTTTTAATTTGCTGTGGTAATACACTAAAATAAGGATTTAGGAAGATAATTGAAACTTTAGAGTTATTGTAATTTTATCTGCATCTTGTACATATTTCTAATCAATTATCATTGGGTTTTAACACAAAAAGTAGAAATCCGGCTTCCCTTGAAGGGTAATGTAGTGGACTTTGCGTTTTATCACACAACTTTTAACTTCCATGACCCTGAGTCAATCCTTATGCTCTATATTAACTCCACGTCTTTGCTCTATATAGTTGAGCCACTCAATTATTGAAATCAGGGCACCTCATGACATTCCTAAGTGTGCCAATGAAAATCTCTTTGGAATGAAAAGTTCAAGCATTTTTTTTTTTCTTTAAAGCATATGAACATCTGTCAAATACAAAAAGAAGGGGGAGATGATTCATGAAAGAGCATTAAACAACCGTGAAGAACCTCTTGAAAAGTAACCATGTAATGCATAAAGAGTTACTGATGATTCATCCAATATGACAGGAGAGAATATATAAATAAGGATATTTTGACAGAGAAAGAGTGGGTCAGGGACAGATAAAGCAGGCAATCTGGGTATGTTTACTGTATTACCTACAAATGTATTCAGAAATCATGAAATAGAATATTAACAAATATAGAGTGTGAACATGCTTGCAGGATTGAAGTCTTCCACTTGAAGGGAAAATGTTAGAGAGCCAACAAGGACCATATAGCCTGATCCTTGATATTTTTGCTCATCTGCAAATGTGTACATGAACAGCAAAATCAATATTTTCAGGCCCTTAGTGTGAAGCAAGTGGCTGCATAAATGAGCATTGACTTAAAACACAGACCGAATGTCTCTATCCCTTCTCATCTAACTGTATTGAAGCTGTGGAAAATTTTTCTTCTGTCATACGGTAAACAATGTGGTAACATTGCTTAACATGACATTTGAATGCATGTCTGCCTCTTTTCTCAAATCAGGTTGCTGAGTAATTCACCTGGAAACCCAATCTGGGTGGGGTTAATTAAATCCAGCTGGAGCAAGACACCTGACAAAGATGCTTATTTGAAGTGTGTTTGCTCTTGGACTGAGCTTTACCAGAGAGAAAATTCATATTCTGAGCTTTTCTAGAAGCAGGATTGGCATAGGAAAATTGTAGAGTCGTCAAAAAAAATCAAAGTGAAAAAACATAACTTGCACTGAAAATTAGGCAAGATGCAGTCCAGTGTCATTTTAAACACAGTCAATTAGTCAATGCATTTAGCCCTGGGTTGGTAAATGAAATGGGTAACAGGAAGACCAAAATAGAGTAACTATAGTCCCTCTCTCTCTAATACACACACACGCGTATATATACACACACACACGCGCGCACACACACGTGTATATATATACATATATACACACATATATACATAGAGTCTAAATGGTGTAGTATATATGGTATATATGTCATATCTATAAGTATATGTATACATATACATATGTATTTCCTAAACTGCTTTGCTTTTTCTTGAACTATTATTTACTGAGTTTTAAACAAGCAAAAAAAAACACTTGTTTTTCATCTTAAGAAATGTAATGTTGTATGGAATATAGTTAAGGACTTTGGTTCACTGTATTACAGTGAGTTCTTTTTATTAAGATCCACAAAAGCTCTCTTGCTTTATAGCAATTGATTTGCTGTTCCAGAGCAATTGTTTCTTTTGGTATTCTGAACACTACGTCGTAGAATTAATTGTGTTCTGCTCTTTGTCTTGGTTGCTAAAATGTTCTGAGCGTCTTATGACCCTGAACTAGAACAAAGTATACAGGACTTTATGGTGTTTGATATCCGTGTGTGTATCTGATAAGACAGATGTTTCTTTCTCCACACTATTTATCTGATGATGGTAATTAATTTAACTACAACTACTCACATGAGATCTAGAACCATTTTTAGCTGTATAGTTTAGGCTTACACAAACACATTATCTGTATAAAAAGACTAACCCCGTTCTCAGCAAAGTTAGAATACAACCTGCATTTTCTGGGAGTCCCAATGTCAAACCCTCTACCATAACCAATTTCATGCTCCACTAATGTTAATATTTCAACAACTAATTATACGTATCACATAAAACACAGGAAAATATTCTTAATTAGTTCAATCCAATGGAATGTTATATCAATGTGGTCAACGTATGTAACATGTTGTAAAGTAGGACATGATCTGGAACCATACTGGGGAAAAACATGTCATCAGAGTCTAAATCACCACTTTTAAAAGTTATTTAATGTCTCAGTAATCTTCTTACCTATGACTATGGATGAGAGCATTCAAAGCCAGGCCATCAGACCAGCTGGTGGTGAAGTTGATTACATTAACCTGTGGATAATTACGAGTTGATTGTCGGACCCAGCTCAGGAGAATCTTTTCACTGTTGGTTTGTTGCAATCCAGCCATGATATTTTTCATTACATTTTTGACCTACATGTGGAAATAAATTTTCATAAGGAAACAAATTCCTTGAGCAAGAACCATGCAAATTTAATAGAAATTTTAGGGCCAATTAGTAATAAAACATAAGAGATTCTACCCGAAGTAAGTCTATTCTAAAAGGTGAGGAGTCTATTCTGATTCCTTGGTGTCTATGCCATACCATTTACTGAATGTGTTCATTGTTACTCCTGGATTCTGCCATATTAGACTGAGCATTTACTGTTTATAGAATTGCTCACCTTCTAGCTTTCAATGAACAAGCTAGAGAAGACAGTGTATAAAAACATCAAACTTACTGTTAACCAAAGACTGAAGATATAAAAGTGCTTTTTGGATAGCATAATCATTTTTTAAAGTATGTGTTCATATTTTGCCTTTGTTATTAATTGTGGTAATTGGACAAGTTGCTTAACCTTTTCTAGGCCTCATTTCTGTGTATCTTATATGCAAGGTTAGTGTAAGATCAAAGTACAAAATACAGTCAAATAAAGCCCCTAATTTCATACCATCATTTAACTCGAGTTATGTTTACTGGCTGAACTGAAAAGACGACAGAAATGTTTGTCTGCCTAAAATAAAGAAAAAAGCAACAAAGGAAAGAAATATTTATCCCTAAGAGCTGTACATGTGTAGCCTTGGTTCTATTTTCATTAATTGGTTTCCATGTATTTGATTCTCTCATAGGCTTCATGCACGTACAGATGTTATTCAGCAGATTATCAAATTTCATTATTCTGAGTCATCTGATGCAGAAATCCATTCTAAGCATTTTTTCTAAGTTTCATGAATGCAGTGACACCTCATAGAAAAAATTATGTCTTTTATTAAATAATTATTATGTATTAAAGACTACTTTTTAAATATAAGCCCCTTATGAGATGCTGGAAGACATCTATGTGAAACTCATTAGTCTGTACCACTAAGCACTTTCCTTCTGGGAAGGTTAAGGTTCATATACTATCAACATTTGATCAGATGATGAATATTTATTGTGCATTCTAAATATGACAATTTTACTTTTTCATCCATATAGAAGTTAACAAATGCCTTTGGGGTAAATGTATATTTTAACATCTCCAATGTTAGTCTTCTTTTTATTAAAAAGTAAATGCAAATTTTAGGATATACTACTAAATCTCATTTTAACATACTTTTAAAAGATTTGAGATGATGCTTTGTAAACACAGTAATGATTTGGAGATAGGAAAACTTCGCACATATTTGTCACAATCCCTTGATAACTAAGTCTATTATTTAGGAGTAGATTATCCAGTTTTCCTAATTCCTTCTTGACCTACTTATTTAGTCAGTTACTCAGTGAATACAGGTCAACTATGTAATTTGTCTTATATTCTAAAATTATAAATTGCAAACCTTTATGTACAGTGACTGCAGGAGGTGTATTTTGTATTCTGTGCTAAATTAGGACTGGAATCAGCAGATCGTGGCTTAATGGTGGTAATGGATTTGCAATAATCAAGCAATCCTCCAATGATGAATGCGATTCATTTGTGAAATGCTTGGCCAGTCTGCCCTCTATGTGCATAATGTTGAAGGACAACAAAGTATAGGATCCAAAACTCCTTTAGTATCATTATGTCACTAATTCAGCTTATCAGCCTCAGCCCTCGTTGTTATTGCTTCTACTTAGGTGCAAATGTTGCGCAGAAAAAAATGTAATCAAGGGCAATGTATGATAATCATGTCTCCTTTTCCTACATAAAAGGCAGTTATCAAAAAATCATTGAGCTGGTCCCAAAGGTGAGCCTGTAAACAAAATTGTCCTGTCCTCAGGTCTGTCTCTAAAAGAGGCTCAATTTAAACAAATGTATTTGTGTGTGTGCCCATGCATACAACTATAAATCCATTTATTAAAAGGAAAAAAGTTGAAATGTCTTTGAGCAGTGATTTATAAAAATGACTAGGAGTTAACTGGGCCAAGAAGGCATGATGGACATGGAGATGCAGCGCCAAGATTGATCTTCAAAGGGCTTGTTGCTCCAGCTGTGGTTAGGCAGCTTCTTGTTAGTTCTCTCAGGTACCACCTGACTTGCCGAGTCCAGTCAGCCAATGTCACACCCTTTCCAGGGCAACCCACATCTATTGACTGATGAAGGGGCGTAGTATAAACACTCCGCCATTTTAACTCCACTTGAGACAACTCTGAAGGGTCATCCTAGCTGCAAGTTGTCCATGGGGTTGAATAAGGGTATTATAGGGTTTACATCACAGCTGTAGTTCTTTCTCTTTCCACCCTGTCACCTCTGCCCTTCTACAGGTGTGTGTGTGTGTTTTTTTTTTTTTTTTCTTCCAGGGCATGGCTTAATAAACATGCTGCCTGCCAAACAACTCCAAAGTCTACTCCCCAGAACCCAGACTGTGATTAAAAGAAGTTGCAGCAGAGGAATAGAAGTGAAGAAGGGTAGGAATAATCTTATATGGTAAGGATAGTTTGTGTGAAGCTCTGCAGAAGAGCAGAGCAGAGCAAGAACTGTCTTGCACAGAAGTGACTTGGTAGGCAGAAATTTACAGGGATGGCTTTCAGCAGTGCAAACGTCATCATTCTCCTATAATTGCAAATTGTATCAATAATACAAAGATTCTAAAGTGAATAGCGCTGCCATTAAGTACATCCCTTGAATTGTCCAGCAAAAGTATGGACCTGCCTTCTGATAGCTCGCCACTGTTGGCAAGATTTGTTTTTATAACCAGCTGGTTGCCAGAGCCAAGTTTAGCACTCTGAAAAAAAATGGATTGCACTTAAGAAGGATGAAAAAGATGCCAAACACACATTATATGCTTTGCAATTTTGTTCAAAGCTGCCTATGCTACAAAATATGCCTTATTGTTTTAGGCTAGCAATTTTATTTGAGACGGACACTGGAAAAACAGTAAGGAAAACAGGGTTTGCATTCCTGAGTTTTCACAAGTTCAATGAGAAGCCCTCTATGGCACTATTAATAACATAGTATGTGGCATTAGAACAAGGGGTCGACATCTTTCTATCTCTAAATGCTGCTCTTAATCTGATAGATCTAGAAGGTACATTAAGTTGAGCAGAATGCCCTTTAATCTTTGCTGAGATATAAGGGCTTCTCCATTTAATAGGAAGGAAAATATATAATGCTGGTAAAAAGTATGTTTTTAGATTCACTGAATTATGATGAAGAACACTGAGCAAGATAATTTTTTCAAAGTGTGCTTAATAGTTTTAGAACATGGCAGTGTGATATAAGAGAGAGATGAGATAAGTAAGCAGAGGCTGGGAAGAGTCTACAGTCTTGCCATCTCAAGGATATGGTGATTCAAGGGCATACATGGAAAACAACAGGCTGTAAGAGAGGTCTCAGACAAAGAAAGATTGAAAAAGCATTCTTTCTGATATTCCTCATTGCAAAAGCTCCTCCACACGCTAATAAAAAAAAAATGAACAACTTGCAAGCAAGTGAAGAAATTATCATACAGAATAGTCTTGAAAGTTTATCTTAGACTAGTTCAGATGGAAAGGGCTTCAGGATATTTTTTTAAAATGGTAAGATCGTATGAGAAATAGTATAAACGATAAGTACAATTCAAAGTGGCTTTTGGAGCTCTGTGCATGCTTGAGTTCTGCTGACTTTGTCAAAACTTACGTCTGTGTTACGCAAAGTGGGATCTGCAAACTGGATTCACTCTAAGAATTATTTGTTACTATGCCATAAGATAACATCAACAATTGAGAATGCATCAAGAAACTTACGTAGGGACTTTTACAGAGTGTCATTTATGTCTATTGCATTTAATAATAAAGGAGGAAGCTTAGGTATTATTTTTGTAATGCTTTGGTTTTATTGTATCTTACACACAATGGATTAGGGGAAAAAAGTGTTCCTTCCTCAAGATATTTCGAGAAATACCATGCAACATATGAAAAGCAGTTTGGGGAGAGGTGGGGTATGTTGCTCGCTGGTTCTATTTGAACCATCACTATATGGAACGGGCTGAAAATCGGCCAACTTGGGCTCACTTAAGGCTCCTATGAGCTATTCTTTGTTGCCAGCACACATTAATTCCTGCTCTTTTCTCTTCCCCTCTCCCCGCTTACTGTTGTGAAATAGCATTAAGCCTGTTCAGAGAAGTTGGAATAAAAATATATGCGGGCCAATTAGGAGAGCAATATGGCTGCTGAATTGAGAAGGTACACTTAGTGTCTACTCATTCTCTGACTCTAAGCAAGAGCAATCTACAATTCAAGTTAAAATTCAAGTTTACCAAATGAAGCCATGACAATAGTTCAGGTCTATTACGCCCAGTGAAAGAAGTCAGACACAAAATAACAAGTATTATATTGATATAAAATATCCAAAAAGACAAATATGTATGGACAGAAATAGACTGACAATTGCCTAGGGCTATGGTTGGAGTGAAAAATGACTGTAAATGGAGAAGAAACTTCTTTTTAGGGTGATGGAAAAGTGCCAAAATTAGATTGCTATGATGGCTATATTACTCTGTAAATGTCCTACAAATTTTAATGAACTGGCGGGTTGGTGGGGGTACTACTGATCCCTCAAAATAGTTTGAGAAGCTACCAAGAATCAAAATTAAACCAGGTTGATGCAAATTGAATTTTGCACTTAGAATGGGTGCATTGATGGTATAACAATTACATTTCAAAAAAGCTGATTTATAAAAAAGTAATCGTGACCAGTAAAAATAGCAGTCATTTCTCAGCCTCCAAATTTTTTAAATGAGTGGAAAACTTCAAGCAATCAATACAAGTCATATGACACACCTCAAATAAAAGTGGTATACTACACTGAGTGTCTTGCAGATATTCTCCCACTTAATCGTGATAAGAAATATATACACGTTTATTTTTATTTTTACTCTTTTGATAGTAAAGGGACCATGGTCCAGAACAGGGGTGACAATATACCAAATGCCACTAAGGTGCTAACTGTGGAAGTTTAAGTTCAAGTTCATGTTGGTAAATATATATACACACATATGTATACATATATATGTGTAAAATGAATTATGTGTATATATACAATGAGTGAATAATATTAGTGAATATAAGTTCATGTTGGTCATATATACATAATGTGTGAATACGACTGTATATCTACAAACATGCATATTGTATATATGCGTGTATATATATATACACACACTCGTATGCATACAAATGCATATTGTATATATATATGGGTATGTGTATCTTTTCCACAAATCCTTCAATCCATTTTGCAGAGGTCAAAGAGACAGTCAGAAGACCCTATGCTCAGGTGACTTAAAAATATAATTTCCAAATCAGATTATGAGTTTGTATGTATAACACATTTATGGATAGAGATACCCATATTCTACTAATCTTTTATTGGCAATAATTTATGTTAAGAATACCCAAGACTGAGAAAGCCCCATTCCTTTGATAGTGATTAAAATTAAAAAATGCCTTTCTTTTTACAAGGCTATGTAAACTCACTTATAGACAAGTAATAGAACATACATTTGTGGAAAAAAAAAATTACCTATGACTGGGACTTTGTATTTTACCTTATGCCTACTTAATGAAATAAAATTTTGAAAAATATTCCTGTAAATGTACCAGAACCTATTTTATACCATAATGATTCTTAACATTTCAGATGACATGGTTGTATCAATTTAAAAAGTAACGCTATGGAGAAGGGTTTGTTATTGTTAGAAATACACATTTGTTTCACAGGTGAAGGGCAGAAATAAAAAAAAGCAAGATTCATGTTACTCAAAAGGAAACCATTCATCAGGATTCTTACCTGCCAGTGGAGGATTATATTCCAAATCAAACCAAGAGTCAGTTTATGATTTCCATCTACGATGTCAGTACTTCCAATATTCACTAAATCAACCTGTTAAAGAGAAGGGGAAAACATTTGAAGGTAAGAAACCAAATGCCTAGTTGCAATAACAATAATAAAAATGTGAAAGTAATTGCATTTAGCTATTTTCAGGGACTCAGCATTAAAGTTTTTTAAAAATAATCTAAAAATTAAACAAAATGCATTAGAAACCACTTTCCACAACAAGCATCCCATATATATTTACTTTTAGCGCATGAATAGATTACTGCAGATTAGAGAGGCCGACTGGAGTATCTCCAGACAAAATGTCATAAAGGATGTCTAAAATTAAGATATGCTTTCTAGTATAGAATTACAACTCAGAAAAATTCACCAGTACTTCCGTCTATCTCTGAGGAGTGCCAGTATAATTAAGGCTGACTGCATTTTACTAAAATACCTCTGTTTTAGAATGAATGTTAGGTCTCTAACAAACAATGGAGCAAATTGCCAGCTCTCTTATCTCTGTCTAGAACTGTGTTTGGAAATGAAAATCTGGCAGTGTTTTGCCTTAATGAAGGCAAATCTCTATGTCTCCTGTCCTTCACACTACTGAAATGTTTAGGTGGAGTAAGGTTAAACACAAGCATCTGAAAAATAAGCATGTGAGAAGATGTTCAATGTTGTTAGCCAGTAGAGGAATGCAAATTATAAACCACAATAATCTATCACTGCGCATGTATCACAATGGTTAAAATTTAAAAATAGTGCCATAACATGCTGGTGAGGGTGTGGAGAAACTGGATCACTCAACCCCTGCTAGTGGAAATGCAAATGATATAACCACTTTGGAAAACAGTCTGGCAGTTTCTCACAAAACTAAACATGTACTTATTATACAATCTAATAATTGGGCTCTCGGGCATTTATCTAAAGGAAATGAAAACATATGTGCACACAAAAACCTGCACGTAAGTGTTCATACTAGCTCTATTTTTAATAGCCCCAAACTGGGAACCCAGATGCCCTCAAGGGTAAGTAAACAAACCATAGTACAGCCACACCATGGAATAACACCCATCAGTGAAAAGGAACAAACTATTGATACATGCAGCAAATTAGATGAATTTCATGGGCACTATTCTAAGTGGGGAAAAAGTCATTCTCAAGAGGTAGCATACTATATTAGTCTGAATCTATGACAGTCTTGAAAAGACAAAGTTACAGAAATAGAGAACAGAGTAGCAGTTACCAGAGGTCAGGAATGGGGGTAAGATGTGGGGTAGCTGAATGTCCTTGTAAAAGGACAGTATGAGGGAACCTTGTAATGGTGAAACTGTTCTGATGGTGGATTTACAAATCTACACACATAACGTTGCATAGAACTAAATACACACATATGCATACACATAAATATGAGTAAAGCTGGGGAAATCTGAATACTATTGGTGGTTTATATGAATGTTGATATCTTGGTCAAGATATCATACTTTCGTTTTATAAGATGTTACTATATCAAAGGGGAGATTAATCAAGACTAAGAAAACATCATCGTCTATATTTCATCTGGGGATTCCTCACATGGCAGTAGAAGAGAGAAATTCCTCCATAAGGAAAAGCCACTATAAATTTATCTATTGATTCACTGATTCACTAACGCAACAAATATCTTTTGGCTATATGCCAGGCAATGAGGTACTAAGAGCATGTAAAAGGAAAAACCTTCTGCTTTCATGAAACTTATTTCTAGTGATAGTGATAATCAGATGATATGCCACTGAAGATTAAAGCAGTTAAGCAGAAAATATGCAATTTTTAGGAAACAGACTCACTCATACTGCGGGAAGCATGGCTTGTAGGTATGTTTTGGCTTGCCATAGACCTGACTCTGGGGAGACTTAGATCAAGTAATAGGCACTTATATTCCAGTAACCCCTACCCAATGTCATAAGACTTGTCACTGTGTAAGCAGGAAGATAGTTCCTCCATTTCCTTATACCCATAAACGGTCTCATAAGGTCCAATTTCCACTATATTCAGGTACTGGGCTCAGACCTGATAAAGGAAAGCAAGGTACTATCCCTAATGTCAAGAAGTTCACAACAAAGGTCACATAATAAAAAAAGTATCTACCATTAGGCTCTAGCAATTCTACCTCTACATTTATAAACAAAATAATTAGAGATTAAGATATTTGTAGACCAATGATTATAGTAGCATTATTTGCAATAGCCAAAATGTGAAAACACCCAAATGTCCATCTACAGATAAATGGATAAACAAAATGTGGTATGTACATACAACGGAATATTTTCAGCCTTAAAAAGGAATGAAATTCTGATACAAACTACAACATAAATGAACCTTGGAAACATATGCCAAGAGAAATAAGCAAGACATAAAATGACAAATACTGTATGATTCTACTTATGTGAGGTACCTAAAAAAGTCAAATTCATAGAGAAAAATTGAAGTTATTAAAGACTAGGGGAGGGAAAAATGGGGAGTTATCATTTAATGAGTTCAACTTGGGATGATGAAAACATTCTAGAGATGGATAGCGGTGATGATTACCCAACAACGAAAATATACTTAAAGCCACTGAATTATACACTAAAAAAGTAGAAAAAATAGTACCTCAAACGCTATTTAGGGCAATGTACCTGAATATACATTTCTCAAAAGAAAAACTAATGGCCAGCACATAAATAATATTGAACATCACTAATCATCAGAGAAATGCAAATTAAAACTACAATGAAATATTATCTCACACTGTTAGAATGGCTATTATCGAAAAGACAAAAGACTAAGTTGTGGCCAAGATGTGAAGAAAAAGGAATCTTTGCACACTGTTGGTGGAAATGTAAATTATTGTAGCCATTATGAAAAACAGTATGGAGGCTTCTCAAAAAATTACAAATAAAACTACCATATGATTCAGGAATTCCACTGCTGGGTATATATTCCAAAGGAAACGAAATCAATATGTCAAAGAAATAACTGTACTCCAGTGTACACTGCAGTGCTACTCAAAATAGCCAAGATAGGTAATCGACTTAAGTGTCCATCAGTAGATGAAAGAAGAAAATGCAGGTATACACACCTACACACACACAGACACACACACACACACACAGCAATACTACTCAGCCTTAAAAAGCAGAGAATCCTCTCATTTGCAACAACATTAATGAATCTGGAGTACGTTACATCAAATGACATAAGCCAGGAACAAAAAGACAAACATTACATCATGTCACTCATATATGAAATTTTAAAACGTTGAGCTCATAGAATTGAGAGTAAAATGATGGTTAGCAGGGGATAGAGCTTGGAGGAGGAGGGTTGTTTTTTTTTTGGTAGACGGAGTTTCACTCTTGTTGCCCAGGCTGGAGTGCAGTGGCGCCATCTTGGCTCACCGCAACCTCTGCCTCCCGGGTTTCAAGTTATTCTCCTGCCTCAGCCTCCTGAGTAGCTGGGATTACAGGTATACACCACCACACCCACCTGATTTCGTATTTTTAGTAGAGACGGGGTTTCTCCATGTTGGTCTCCAACTCTCAACCTCAGGTGATCCGCTCGCCTCGACCTCTCAAAGTACTACGTTACAGGCATGAGCCGCCGTGCCCAGCCTAACACCCACTTACAAGTGAGAATATGTGGTTTCATTTGGTTTTCCGTACCCGCATTAGTGTGCTGAGAATAATGGCTCCAGCTGCATCCATGTTGCTGCAATCTCATTCTTTTTTTGTCTGGGTTGTATTCCATGGTGTATACCTACCATATTTTCTTAATCGGTCTACTGTGTTGATGGACATTTAGGTTGATTCCACGTCTTCGCTATTGTGAATAGTGCTGCAATAACCATGTATGTGCATGTATCTTTATCGTAGAACAATTTATATTCCTTTGGGTATATACCAAATAATGGGGTTGCTGGGTTGAATGGTATTTCTGTTTTAAGTTCGTTCAGGAATCACCACACTGCTTTCCCACAATGGCTGAACTAATTTACATTCCCACCAGCAGTCACCACACCTGGCCAATATCTTATGCACACATTTTCAGACACTGATGCTTCTATTATAAAAATTCACAGGATGTATCTACTAGATCAGAGTGTGTGTATATACATACATAAACACGCTCTGATCTAGCAGATAAATCTATATATATATACACACACACACACACATTTCAGGGAGATATACTATACATATATGTACAGATATCTACACATATACACATATATAGCTATACACATATATACGTATGTATACATCTACACATATATACGAACATACACACACATATATACACATATATATGTAATTTTAATTTTAGTAGGTGTTTCCACCTGCCTTCCTAGAAACAATTTAGTATTTCATATTTTAACCAGAGTGTATAAGGGTAGGCTCTTCTCTCACCAGGACATTTTTGTTTTGTTTTAGTTTTGTTTGTATGATCAATAAAATACATCACTTTAACTTTTCTTTCTATGATTCCTTGTGCATTTGAATATATTTTTGTATGACTGACCTATTACAATTCCATCTGTGAATTGTCTGTTAATATGTCTTGCTCATTTATTTCTATATGGTAGCTTTCTTTTCCTTCTTGAATTTTAAGAGCTCTTGGTAAATAAGAGCTAACATTTATAGAATGCTTACCGCTTCCAAAATGTGATTCTATTTCTTATAATTCAACATAATTTTGTATTTCATTGAAAAGTAAGACTGTCTTACAGATTTATGATTTTTATTTTTTGACTGTTAGTACAAAGGTTAATCTGACATCACAAAAGGAATTGTGGAGTTTTCCTTTTCATATGCTTTGGAATAGCTTAAAGTATATAAATTATTCTTTAAGGGTTAGGTTAAATTCATTTGTGAAGAATCCTGCACTTTTCAACGGTACATCTTTAATAACCTACTAAATGTTTTCTGAAGCAATTAGTCTAATTTTCCACTTATCTCAATTTTAGTGATTTGTATTGTACTAGAAAATCAAGTTTTCTAGAATTTTGCAAAATTGTTATAAAATTGCTTTCAGTTTTCCCTTAATTT